GTATGTGCCTTGAAGTTTCCAGTAACAGACTTTTCGTCTTTAAATCTTTAAGTGTTTATTTCAACGGTGTTCTAGTCTTGTATAGTTGGTATGTGCCTTGAAGTTTCCAGTAACAGACTTTTCGTCTTTAAATGTTTAAATGTTTATTTCAACGGTGATCTAGTCTTGTATAGTTGGTATGTGCCTTGAAGTTTCCAGTAACAGACTTTTCGTCTTTAAATGTTTATTTCAACGGTGTTCTAGTCTTGTATAGTTGGTATGTGCCTTGAAGTTTCCAGTAGCAGACTTTTCGTCTTTAAATGTTTATTTCAACGGTGATCTAGTCTTGTTTAGTTGGTATGTGCCTTGAAGTTTCCAGTAGCAGACTTTTCATCTTTAAATGTTTATTTCAACGGTGATTCTAGTCTTGTATAGTTGGTATGTGCCTTGAAGTTTCCAGTAGCAGACTTTTCGTCTTCGGTTGTTTACCGTGGAAACAGCTTTATTTGATTTCTCTCCCTCTGTTCATATGAGAAACTCGGGTGAAAAGTATGGCATGAGTTATGACTGGACATATCAAACCTATACTGTTCTTCTTGTCTTTGAACAGATTTCATGCCAGGTTTTCTGTCTATAAGATGGTGTGTCCTACATGTGGGCAGGGGACCAGATTTGGGTCCCCCTCAACATGGGTGTGTACATCCTCAAGTTTTGGATGGGTTAAGTGTTATCGATAAATGGATAACACTTAACATCAATGTCCAATACATGGCTAACTTTCACATTAGGACAGTGTCCAGCCTTAAAGGATTATTTAAACATATATTGTCAAAAATCCCACTACTTACAAACTGAACATTTAATTCATTCTTTCCAGTTTAATTGAGATAATTTTTTAGATAACTAATTTAGTTGCAGAGTTGATTTTCTTTAAGCCTTTCACTTACTGTGGGATGCACAGTTTGATTTGAAAACAAAGTTTGGGTTATTGAAATCTCTTATCTGTTGTCAGATGATGAATAAAAAAAGAAAAACTTTTTCAATATTACTCTAACTGAACACAAGTCTAAGAACCCTATTGCTGGAAAAGGTAAAATAAAACTTTATAACTTAACAATAATGATTATTTAGCTTTTATTTTTGTAAATATATAAAGTTTCCCCAACTACTCTGTGATATAAAAAAGAAAGCATTTGGAAGAAATAATTGTTTTACATTTGTAAATTTTTTGTTTTTTCAGTATCCTTAGCAAAATGTAAATACTTGCAAAAACTAAGTTTTATTTGTAGAGGCTAATCCGTATTAGTGCTTGTTCTATCATTCTTTTGGTTAAAAGACAAGAAAAAATGTGCTTTTCCATTTTTGTACTAATTGTTTGCACCTAAAGTTTCTGTAATGTACTGATAGCATTAGTATTACTTTTGTTAACGTAAGTCATTCAACCTTATACTTGTGTATTAATCATTAACTTGATCGAAAGTTTATCTTTTTTTTCCTTTTCCTGTGCTGCTATACATGTAGTACAGCATGGAATCAAATGTATTATGAACACAATACTCCTAGAGTATATTAATAAAAAGTTAATGTATTTTTTAGGTGGATTAACAGTATTGGTGCTGCATTGTTTATGCTTTAATTTATAAATAATAATTTGACTTAGTAAGCTGTAAGACTTATTAACCATAGCCCATTATCCTAAATTACTTTGAGATCAGCTGAAATTAACATAAAATAAAGTGGAAAAATTAGGTATAACGTTAAAAATTTGAGTATGTCTTAACTGAATGTTACAGAAAACAAAGATATGATAAAGAATAATATATTTAATCAAAAAGTTCTTTTAATTAGTGTTTTTTACTGATTATAATATACTAATCTCTATTATTATTATTATTATTAAAATAAATTTGTTTTGAAACAGAAATTAAACTTTCACAATTTAGTTGTCTTGGGAGTTTATGAACTTTATCTTGTAAATAATTAATGTGTACCATATTTTTATCTAAATAAATAACTAACTTTTAAATATCATATCTGCTTCCTTCTTTCATTTGTTTAGAGACTATTTATTTTCATCTTCCATCTGTGGACAGCCCCCAACAAACCGTGTATGGAATATCGTGTTATAGACAGATGAATGCTGAGGTTTGTTAAACACGATGTATGAATTTATGCAAGCATGACATATGGTTTCAATGTTTAGAACTTCTGTCATTCAATAATAATTAAAGAGTTTTACAAATAACTTTGGAGTCAAGATAACATTTGATGCATATGGAGGAAATAAAACAAAACAAACGTTTTTTATAAACACTGTTAGACTTAAAACCAAATGTTTGTTTATAAACACTGTTAGACTTAAAACCAAAAAATGTTTGTTTAAAAATGTTTGTTTATAAACACTGTTAGACTTAAAACATAAACACTGTTAGACTTAAAACCAAACAAACGTTTTTTGTTTATTTGTTTCAACTATAAATGGAAGGTATGTATAATTATATTAAATTGGTTTGTGAGTTTTACAAAGTGGTAATACAGTGAATGTTCACTTGACACGTATGGAGTTTACTACATTATTGTTCAGAGCTTACATTGTGATCTTCTATATCTGATACTCAATGTATTTATAGTTATCAATCTTATGTATAGTTATCTGAGTATCCAAACTACTCAGATAACTATTCACAAGGTTAAAAAGATTAAATCCAAAGTTTATCTTTTTAACCTGGTGAATAGTTATCTGAGTATCCAAAGTTTATCTTTTTAACCTGGTGAATAGTTATCTGAGTATCCAAAGTTTATCTTTTTAACCTGGTGAATAGTTATCTGAGTATCCAAATTTTATCTTTTTAACCTGGTGAATAGTTATTTGTATATCCAAAGTTTATCTTTTTAACCTGGTGAATAGTTATCTGAGTATCCAAAGTTTATCTTTTTAACCTGGTGAATAGTTATTTGTATATCCAAAGTTTATCTTTTTAACCTGGTGAATAGTTATCTGAGTATCCAAAGTTTATCTTTTTAACCTGGTGAATAGTTATCTGAGTATCCAAATTTAATCTTTTTAACCTGGTGAATAGTTATCTGAGTATCCAAAACTTCATAGGTTGTTACTTTGATAATATTTTGAGTTTCTGAGATTGTTAGTAGCAGTTTACTGTATAGAAGCTTTTTGATGCTGAAATATTGTATTTAAATATGTAAAAAGTTTAAAGATAAATATAACGTCTTTCCTTTGAATTAACTTTTCATGTTTGACAATGCTGAATTATTTTTATTACTCGGTAAGAGATTGCTAGTAAGACAAAACTGTAGTGAGTAACATATATTGACTTGTTCCATAATTTGTGCACACGTGATTTATCCATACAGTATAATTTGGTGTAATTAGTTACTTTAAAGTTGATATTTTTAACTGACTCCATTTATATTTCCACAGAGGTTACTCAATTAGTCTTGACATAACACGTGGAACGGTGCAAAAGAGTGTTTGCGTGTTGAGTCGACTCCCTCTTTATGGACTAATTCAGGCCAAGTTAGAGCTTATTACGCATGCCTACTTTGATGAAAGAGATTTCAGTAAAGTGGCTTTATTAGAAGAAACGTACAAAAACTTAAACTCCTCACTTAGTCCTGATCTAGTATGGGGATCCCAAGTCTTCTTAGGTAAGTTGCTTTTTATAATTATTTCATACAAAGTGTGGCTTGAATTTTTTTTTTGAAGTAGAAGTTTTTATATCGTAATGACATTTGATGTAAGAAACAGATTTTGTAACAAAATATTCTTAAACTGTACATTTTTATTTTTTGTTTGCATAATTTGCTGCTGTTTGAATAGAAAGGATGTGGTAATATTCTTATGTATGGATTGAATTTTTGTGTATCAAAATAATTTGTTAAGAAAGAATATTACATGTTTTAAAATATCGGGTGTGTGTGTGTGTATGATGTTGAGTATTATCTATATAAAGTTATGTTCTGAAATTATTTCAGTTTGTTGATTAATATTGAAACTATTTTGAAAGATACCGAGGGATGAACAAACCTACTCTTATTTTATGTTTCGTGATCTTCTCTTTATTCTTCAACATCCCCACCTTATAACACGAAACATTTCTCATCAAGCCAGTTATTACTTTCCTGTTTTTTATACAAGCCAACTCAGCAAAGTTCTCTCCATTCAGTTTCATATTATCTTACTCAAACTGTGTGTGTGCATAAACTGCCTCAGGAAAAATTTTCTCATGGAATTCCATGTTATCTTACATCTGCAGTTTAATGAAACCGTTCGTGCACGAACCACCTCAGCAAAGTTCTCTCTCTATTCATGATGCTTTGTATGAATGTCTCGTACATTAAATTGTTTTGGAAAATTGATCGACCGATTCAGCAGGCAAGAGAGTAGTCCCAGGTACAAATTATTCAACAGTTATATGTGCTTCTTTTTTATAGCCCATGAATTATAAGTTTGTAAATGTTAGTATCGTCCTTCTTTTTTTTATTGTACAATTTAATAAGTGTTCTAGAAAACTTTTCAATTTTATTTTAGGGCTTCCTGCTCGAGATCTCATTTTGATATTTAAGCACAAAACGCTGATGTTATTTAAGTTGCTGATGCTGGAAAGGAAGGTAAGGAAGATAGTTAAAGTATGATACACTTGAAGTAGTGTTATTTAATTTTATATACTTATATTTCTGCCTGGTAAAAAAAAAACAACATAAAGTACAAAAATGATTCAAACAGAATTTTGTACTATTTTATTTATATTTTCCAATTTACCTTAGCATTAATGACATGGGTATTACAAATGATTATATGAAACGTTTTTTTGATTGATTTGTTTATTTACATACTTTCCCAAAGATAATATTAGAAACAAACGTTTTACAATTTGTATATTAAAATATTGCATTTTTATACAAGTTATCATTCCAGATTTATATTTTATTATATTCACTATTGTAAGTTTTCTTATTCTCAGACGATAACTCTCCTCTCCACACAGAACAGCTGTCTTCCTCGCACGTCTGCCTACAAGACTTGCGTATCACTAGTTTTGAGGCAATTTCCACCTAATATCATTTGTTTTAACATGCCTTGTGCGTGGTGATGTCATCATATGACAAAATCCTCCACCAATAGAGGGCAACACAACCTCTATGCACAGTAACTCGTGATAACTTCAATGTTTTACTTGGCATTGAATGACACGGGCATGTTTAAAATTTGCTGAGACTTGCATAAGTTAACGAAACAGGTTTTCATTATTCTTTAGACTTAGTCTTCACTTTGTTACTATGAATTCATGCAACTCCTGCGTGACTGAAGAACCTATTTCAATTAAAGATGCTCTTTAACTGTAGACAACGTGACAGCCTCTTGTTCCTGTCCATTCTTCTGCTTCTGGAACTTATAGATGCATGTATATAATCAATACCACCCCTCGTGTCTCAGTGGTAAGCCTTCAGACTTACATTACTCAAAACCAGATTTTCGATGCCTGTCGTGGGCCAAGCGCAGATAGCCCATTGTGTAGCTTTGTGCTTAACAACAACCAAACCAATATAATTAACACTGATCATTTTAAACATTGTTCGTCAAACATTCTTATGTTAGACAGTTGAAACATGATTGTATTTTAACTGTAAAAAAATCTCTTGTTTTGTTTACAGGTTCTCTTCTACAATGGTGGAGTAAAAGATTTGTGTTCTGTTGTGTTGACATTATGTTCCTTGTTTCCAGGTACTGTTGTATCTAACTTACTGGTTTTTTTGTTTGTATGTAATACCAACTACTCCCCTTTTGTCCACTAATTGACTTGTATCAGTTTCTTTATTATTACTTCCTTCCTGTTTGTGAGTGTCCTATTATAAAAATATCAGTGGCGACATAAAATATAAAGCAACAAAAAATTCTTCATTTTCTAATAAACATAAATACTTAATGTCGCCACTGATATTTTTATAATAGGACAATGTCACCTCTGATATTTATAAGATGTTAATGTCGCAACTAATATTTATAAAATGTTAATGTCGCAACTAATATTTATAAAATGTTAATGTTGCCACTGATATTTATAAAATGTTAATGTTGACGCTGATATTTATAAAATGCTAATGTTGGCACTGATATTTATAAAATGCTAATGTTGCCACTGATATTTTATAAAATGTTAATGTTGACGCTGATATTTATAAAATGCTAATGTTGCCACTGATATTTTATAAAATGTTAATGTTGCCACTGATATTTTATAAAATGTTAATGTTGCCACTGATATTTATAAAAT